AGCGTGCAAGCACCATCTCAAAAGGCATGACACGGAACGATTTCAGGACTAAAATACGACCATGGCTTTGATTTGAGGCACTACCGAGCACGACTGGCCGTCCACTGTTCGTCCAATCTCCCGCCGCGTCAATGCACCTGTGATCCAAGCCCCGGCCATCGTAGAGAGACATCGCTGTCGAAGACCTTAGCACCAGCCGCCGCTATCAGAGCCGCCTAGACTGCCTATCCGCTTAGTACTGGTGGCCAGCCGACTTCTTCTTCTCACCAAGCTCGAAGTGCTTGGTACGCTTCATGGGGAGCTGCTTCTTGGTCTTGCACTCCTTGCACTCCATACGCAGGGTAATCTTCTTGGTGGTCTTGGCCTTCTTGTGGAAGACGGGCTTGGTCTGACCACCGAAACCCTTCTGCTTGTCGTTATAACGACGAGCACCCTGGGCGTACTTGGAGGCCTTACCGGCCTTGTACTGGGTGATCTTGTGCACCGTGTGCTTCTGGCACTTCTTGCCCTTGCAAAAAGTGCGGCGTTCCTTCGGCATGTTCACCATGGTTGCTGAGGTCTGTCGACGGGTGACAAATATATCAACAGGTTAGTCAGCGTCTCCTGAATCCGATGATCCCCGCGCGACGTCTGCAGCTGCGCTAGAACGCGAGATATCGCGTCGGAAAGACCATCATTCAGCAACATGCCTACCTGTCTTCTAGTCCGATTTCAGAAATTACGAGCCCAGTCAAAAAGCCGCAGCTTTGGAGCCCAGCGACAGCCAGTGGTTGGCTCCTAGGACTGGGGGAGGCCGCGTCGTAAAAATCTCGAGAGTTTTTACAGCGTAATTACACCGTACCAGTATACCAGTATGTTGGCTCACTGACTCACTATCCCATTGGTAGAAATTCGTTGTAATGAAATGATAGTAGCTTTATTTGATAATCACTCTACTTCAAAATGATACATCATTACGATACAGACAAGGGTGCAGTCATTTCGATACGTGCGCTTCAACTTCTGGACGAATGTTGGACCCGATTTCGAGTTGATCGTAGTAACGCTGCGGCTAAGATGCTGTTGAGGCATGCTTGTTGTTTTCGGTCGCTCTGTATTCCGTGCTCGAACACCGGCCGATTCAAATCTTCGGGCCACCGCTTCGACGCGTCGCGATGGCAAAGTCGAGACCAGTACTCGCATGTGCGATCCTGCAACATTTCCACCTCTGCCATCGACACGTTACATGCTGTTACATGTAGACTTGATCGAGTCCTGCGTGGCGTTTTGTGGCGTCAACCAGATCCAATTGCTGCTGAACTCAAGTTATATAGCGCTGATTCATCCTTTTGGTCGCTGCAGTCCAAAGCTCGAGATCAAACGTGCGATCCGAGTCAGTTCAAGTCCACCCTATGGCGTGCAGAAACCCATTCACACGTCTTATTCGCCAAAACTCTGCCCTTTTCGCAACGTGATTCGCCAAAACAAATATTAGCCCTATCCTTCGACTAAAAATAGCAGTCTCGAGCCTTCAAACCTGC